TTGAATACCAAGTTTAATTAAAATCAGTAGTAATCAGTGTAGTAGTTTCCATGACTTCAGTTTGTATGGAGACCCGCGTCGCGTAAACACTCCTTACAGCGTGGCACACCGTATTATTGTTCTACTCATCACTACCACATTGCCAAGTTTATGGCCCAAAGTTACGACAGGAATAACAATGGACGTAGAAGTACAACAAAGACAATTTTTTGGTGGTTAAAGGTGCTATTGTTAATGACTAAGCTACTTATTGTGGTTCATTTCTTTACAATTAGTGGTTTATTATCTATTTGTGGTCTGTTACGCTTTTGCATAACTTCACGCCTATCTCCCATGGGGGTAGGCAGAGACTAGGTAACGCCAATTACTACGATTCCTACATACTTCTCTCGCTTCATCAACAGTCGTCTATCTTTTCATGCATGCACGTCGGTTAAGGATACTTTTATTTTGGCCTTTCTTTAATATATTACGTATATAATATGTTACGCATTTTGTCTAGCTTTTAACGCAGTCTATGTGAAATCTAGCATCTTTTTACCCCACATTTTTCACTATTTTTATTGTGTCCCGGTAAAAAAATCCCTTGTCCATCTAAGCTGGAAACATCAAACATTTTTTCAACACTAAACAGTAGATCTTCTTCCATCTCTATCTAATCGTAAAGCAAATTAAATACTTAGCTAAATACTTATTATAACATAACAGAGGTGTACCTTATGCCACTACCACTATACAATGTAACACCCGCTTTTCACTATTTATGTTATAAGTCCTATGTAATAGGGGGTGAGCTTATTGCCATATACCGGGCACAATTCCAGACGCCGTGCTACTACTGAGATTTAAAAAAAAACCAGAAATACTTTGCCCCTGTGCTTTGCCCGACCCGGGAATCAAACCCAAGACCCCTTTCCCGGCAGTCACACTTGCGACCACTCGGCCAACGAGGCAGTCACTTATTATACTTACATAGAAGCCCGAGTGAACAGGTTGCTTATGGGACGACATGCTCCATTATAGACCGCATCATCGCTTACCACCTGGCGAGATATTGTTCAAACGTCGGCCCATCAAATATAAAAAAAAACAGTAGAAATTAAAAAACAGCTGCTAACAAACCTTTAGTTCTTCTCCAAGAAAAAAAATAACACGGTAACATTTTACTACACATCTTTAAGTGATCTTCATAATGATAAATTTTTGCTAAATTTAGAAAGTAGGTATAATATAAATAATGCTCGAGGTTCAAACGTGCGTAAGAAAAAACGTAAGTAAATTGTGTTGTCGGAAAATGTTCAAAAGCTTCGCAGAGTTGTTGAACAATGTCAGATTACTCATGTTCGTGTAATCAGTTGCTTTTAATCGGTCCGTTGGGCCATCAGCCATCATACAGGCGACAGCTGTATCTGATCGTCTGCAAACAAAGCGTACGTCCTCTCAGAAGGTCGTTACCACTGCCTGAGTGATGGACCATACGTCTTGTCACGTTGATAACGTTCTCCTTGTGCAAAATGAAGAAGAATGTCGATTTGTTAAGTGAGTGGTTGGGGTTTTAAGTAAGTTGTGACTTAGTAAATTATGGTGTTAGTGTTGTTATTTATCTTTAAGCATTTTTATTTGGTTAATGTGGGAGAGTCATGCTTCCGCACGAATGCACCGGCTCGACCGGAGTGATACCACCGCCTTTCAGAAAACCGACGTGAAGCAACGCTTGCGTTGTGTTTTGTCGTGTGAGTGGGGTTCCAGAGGCCCAATTCCCCCCCCCTCTCCCCAGTCTCCGCCATTCCTAAATCCTCCACAATCCTCAAATTCCCGATTCTCAAAAGGCCGTAAACGCACTTGTAAAGCCTTGGTGTTTTAGGTGTCCATGGGCGGCGCCGATTGCTTGCTATCAGGTGATCCGACTGCTCGTTTACCGGATTATGCCATAAAAAAAACTAGACAAGTTAGTCATTTATAAATGAAACAGAAGTCGATGAAATAAACGGAATCAAACATTTCCAAGTTTCCCATTTCACCCACCTATATACTACCTACGCCACTGATCCAGAAGACTAATCCAATCCTTTACCTACCTACTGAATTAGTCTATTACCTAGAACAAGTACTCGTAACTATCTCTAACTTTACGACGGTAGTCCTGGATACTCAACAAAACCACCATCAAGGAGGCAATAGAAGTAAAGTTGGAGGACACTAAAAAGACTTTATTGTGATCGCCATCGTCATTACGTCACCAGCGTTAAGCACTACTTAGGTACGCAACTACGCACTAACACCTGACTAGGAAATGTTCAGCCACTATAAGGATGATAGTCTCCTTTTAAGACTAGACATCTAACTAATCTCCTAAGTTACGTTAACTAAACGTTATTGTTGGAGTGTGTATTAAATCGAGTGACTCTAAATTTTGTTCTGGTTTTTTTTTTCTTATTTATAAATAGTTTCAAAACATTTAGGTACCTATAGAATGAGCTAAGTTTTCTTAAACATAGGAAGCATAGGCTTAAATATGGCTCTTGAAAAGCATGGATCAGGTAACCTATAGTTTAAAACATTTATTTCAGTGTATAAATCTTTCAAATACCTAAGACTGTAAACAACGCATCGCTAAATTATTTTATTTTATTCTTACCCCATGTTAGTCAGAACAGCTTAAAAAGTAATACAATAAATATTTACAAAAACAATAAAATATTTGGTTTATATACATATATTTATGTTTATGTAATTTTATTTTTCTTTTTGTAGAACTTCAGAATATTTTTACCGACTTCATTTTTTATTTTCAATAAAATAATTTCACTCATACAAACTTGAAGACAGCGCCATCTACTTCATTGGATAATTACTTCCTCCCAACAACAGATGGCGCTGTAGTAACCGTTGCACAAAGTTTCTACTATTGTGTAATAGATGGCACTAGTGAATCCAAACATTTTATTATTTTGGCCTACTATAAAACTGTTTACAACTCAACTTTGGAGCTGAAAGCATCGAATTACGTAGATTTTGTTAAGTCAAGAGTTGTATAAAATAAAAAATTGAATTGTTATGTTAATATTCTAGGCTAAGCGCAATTTATTATTAAGTCCTAACTCCTAAGCAACATACTTCTATTTACTTACCTCTATATACGTAAATAGATAATATGTAAATGGAAACACGTATTAGTGAAAGTAAAATCGAAGTAGTCAGGTTACATGCACTAGTTTATTCTCGTTAGAAGGCATACCTAGTACGCAAACACGATTCCTCAGCACGAACAACTGAGTTTATTCACTGTAAACTAATATTAGGGTTTCTGTGTGCTTTGACCCATCAATAGGCCATAAGTGGTCACTGCTGACCAAAGGCCTCTTCTCACACGAAAAAGGTTTAAGCTTATCTATCACCACGTTTGCTCAATGCAGGTTGGCGATTTGAAACTTATCTATAATTAGGAATTATAAGCCCAGTTTTCCTCACGATGTTTTCCTTCACCGTTTGTCAGTGGTGTCCAAAACAATCTTTAAAAGTAGGTACATATAAACGTGGAAACAGTCACATTGGTACTTGCCGTTGGTAGGTTTCGAACCCGCAATCTCATGTATGACAAGTGAGCGTCATAAACCTCCGGCCCACCACGACTTTATGCTATGCATTATGCATGCTTTGAACAGTTTACCTATATTGATGACATTGATAACTTTACCAAATTCTCAATGTAACTTTTCTTGTTGGCAGGACAAGCCCACCACAATCTTCCAAGCCCGCTGCAGCTCCAGTAAGCCAGGATCTACAGTAGATACAACCATAAAAATACCGGAACACTGAAGTCCGCCGGACACTCCGGTGCGTCTCGGGGACATGAATTCGTCTTAGATCCCGCAACGAAAGAAATCAGAAAATGTTAATAGAGGAGAAAAAGAAACGACAGTTTTCACTTCTCTGTGCAATTTATACAAGAGACTGAACGAGTTAGGTACAAAATGTATCTCATTAAATACAAACACTTCATTAAAAAAAGAAAGATATCTAAATAAATAAGCGTAAACCATAAAATATCTTTTCAACTTCCCACCGCCGCCACAAACCCACCTAAAACACCGTCTAATAATAATAACCATTTAACAGGATAAATAGCAGCAAGCCGCTTCGCAAGTTAACTCGAAAATCAGTTTCAGTTCCAGCCACTTTTATCCTAAAGTGACACCGACGCTACGGGCTCGAAACGCCCGGTTGTATGTGACCGCAGATTTGGCCGACGGTTAAAGTTATGCGAGCCACGAACGAGCACAAAATGCTGTGAAAATAAATGCCAAGTCGACAGGGGAAGCAACCACGGAGTGCTTTATAAGACTTGAACACTAAACATTTGCCTTTTTGTGTTTAAAAGAACAGCTTCTATGGTAAAAAGTTAGTTTAAAGAGATTGTTGAAAGGTGTAATTAACTTTGCTCGTGGCTTCTTTGGGTTACTGAGATAGAGATTCTAATTCATGCTTTTTCTGAAAAGTGAGCCAAAATTAGTCCTAAATTATTATTGATGATGACGCTCGAAGCTGTTAACTACTAAGTACTTTATGTTTTAAATTTGCTCCGATACTTACGCCTTCTAAAACTTCTATATCAGAGCGTGAGTAGGTAGACACTAAAATAGAAATAAAAACAAAATTCACTTTCCAACGTTTATTACATTACATAAAGCATTCAAAAATAACTTTGGGAAACACGCGTTAAAATCATCAAAACTTAATATTTTCCTGTGCTCGTAGCAATGTGGCTGGGTGAAATCACAAACTAAAGTTGTAAAATAAACACTTTAGTCCGCACATCGGATATTCAACGCGCGGTTGAGTGCATTTTGTTACAAAGTTGTGTTTTACTTTTCTAGCCGACGTATGTGTATTTGAATGTGGAAAGTTCGAATCAGTTGGCGAATATTAAAATAAAATTCATATATTTACAAAGTAAGAGGAATGTTTCGAGGTATTTTATACTTTTATTCATTGTTTACGAATCACGAAAGCGGTTAAAACATCGATTGTTTCATTTATTTCTTCTTTGTAGCTAATGCTTTCATTTTCTTGTAAGTCAGGATGGCTAGTGCGATATTTACGATGTAGGTGGACACGCAGACGATGCATAGATCATGGAGAACAAAGGCTAGGAGGTACGCCAAGTACACGCACATAGGGAGTGAAGAAGCTGCCACGAAGAACAGCATGCGGGCCACTAGCACCTGGTCGAATGTTGCTGAAATAAACGATATTATAGGTTCATTGTGCATAGTGAACTACTTCTTACCATAGTTAGGTATAGTTGACAACTAGTCAAATTCAATACTTTTATCGAAACGTTAAAAACGATACTGTATTATGAATGTTGTACGAAATACCATCTTATGACGTCATCATATTTTCCCGTCAAATAGCACACTTATATCTAAAAAAATGCTAGAATAAATCGAAAGTTAAGTATATCGGTAAATTAATGAATGATAGTGTAACTATTTTTTAATATTTAATTGGACTGAAAAATGAAAATAATTTATTATTAACCCAGGAAACTACCCAATTATAACCTAGGTATAACTTGTGTACGCAAATAAATGGGGGCAAATTGCAAACAAAGAAACATTTCAACACAGGAAAACTTGATGTAAGTAATTTGGCCAACCCAGACATTTAAATCAAGAACTTTAGAACACGAATCGGGATTTGAATTTCTAAATCGGAGCAAACAGTTTTCTTTTTCCAAATTTGCCGTCAAAACCATTTAGAGCTATGTATATAGAGTAAAAAATCTTGCATTACATTACTCAAAGAGACGATAATAGTAATAATAGTGATGTGACACATCTACAAAAACAGTAAATTATTTTCCAGCTAATATCATAAGCATATGGCTTAACTACTAATTATCTTTTATGAGTTTTATGATCTCTACCGTTATAGCAAGCAGTATACTGATGTACCTTTAACCCGAGTCTACGCCAAACACTTGCAATTCAAATGGTTATTATAGCAGTAAACACAGTTCCTAAACTTAGAAAATCGTAATTACAGGTTTCTGAGTTCTAACATTATTTAATGGATCATAAAATCAAATCAAGCATAGAGCAATTACAATGACAGATTATGACCACTCAACACAACAAAAGAGATCTAACAAAGCGGCCGTAGCTTATTTCAATATCAGACTGAAATAACACAATGCCCACTACAATTCCGAGCATTTACGAGCGTGTTTCACGGAATTAACATTTTAGCGAAGCAATAAAAGCTCACGCAAACCCTCTAAATATTCAAATAGAGAAACATTTTATTGTTATAGACTTTAATGCTATTGGGAATATTAAATAATTCATAATCGACTTTCCCATTCGTTCCACTACGTGTACGATATTAACAAATTCAGTTATAATTGTAATACACCGTTTAAACACACAATTTAATTGAGTTACGTGTAACGTGTGGTTATCGCAACGCTAATAACAATGATAAAACTAACTAGCTCAAATTGTTGCGAGTACGTTTTCCCTAAATGTGTAAATCATATTGGCACGTAACATTTCGCACTTCCCAGGAGTGTGTACCAATGTTGGCCTATTACGATAACAGTTATTCACGGCTCGTGAGCCACCAAATAAGCTTAGAGTGAGTACAAGACGGGAGTTTCGCAATATTTTTCTCGTGGTAAAGTCACGAAGTCGGCACGGCAACCACGGGCCGCATTGATGTGCGAATTGCACGCCACCGATCGACGCCGAGCGACGGTACATCGTAATACCATGTCGATTATTATTGGCATCGCGATTATAATTACTAGTAGCTACTAGTTACCACTCGTTAATTCAATAGTTCCAACTGTGGAAACAGTTTTTATATAAGTATTATAATTAACAGTCGACTCGCGATTCAAGTCTGCATTGAGATATATAATCAGCCTTATACAGTTGACGTCTTTATTTAATTAATTGAAGGATTTCTCCTTTTCTGTATAAATGACAGCTTTAATGGCGACTCCATCTGAACATCGTAAAACTTAATAGCGTTTATTGGTTTCGGTTAGATCCAAAGTAATGCGAGTGCATTAATGTGCTGTAGATATTTCACGCAGATGTTTAAAAAGAGTGGGTTAACGTCGTTAAGTTTACTACATTTTTTATTGTGAAATTCTGCGAAACAAAAATCGGGTCAGATAGCTCAATAAACGTAATAATAAGTTTTTATACGTACATAAAAATATTATGAGGCAGTAGAAGATCGTTCCATAAATGCAGTTCGGAATCTTGAGCGTGGACTCTTCTGCTAATAAACCAAACCCTTTGGAAAAGCTGCAAGGAAAATCAACTGTTAATATTTCTAGAGTAGATGATTTATCAGCGAAAATAAAGTTCGTTTGATATCGCCTTCCCTAAAAAAATCCGGAGTGATAGCACGGCCTCACAGAAGATCTAAATGAAACAACGCTTATGTCGTTTGAGTGAGATCTCCAATCTCTTCAAATCCTCAATAATCCTCAACTTCCTGATCCCCAAAAGGCCGGTAATGCAAATTGCTTAACTTCAGGTTCGACTAGTTTCAAGCCATGCTAGAGGCTCATATTCGTAAGTAGTAAGCCGAAAGACGTAATAATTAGTTTAATATGACTCATGAAAGTTATAATATAAATAAAGGGATCGAACATACCTACTGTTTTACCCAATAACAAAGAACACCATGTAAACGGTAATAGAACAACTAAACATGTTTTCCTTAACCCAAAATATTTCCGCAAATGATCCATATCTGACAACCGGTACAATAACTGTTTCCAAATCGAAATCGAAATGGTTTTCCTGTACCATGTACGTTTAAGTCGGTCAACTCTTAAATCTAGTATATTGTCGCGGAGAACCTAACGGGTTACCGGGGCTCCGGCTCGACATGCAGGAGAAGGAACGGGTTGGTTTTTAGTCAGAAAGAGTCTGACACTCCGTCCCGCCTCACCCAGGCGGGAGAAGTCATTGAATAATTTTCCCCCCTCAAAAAAAAGTACATGTATTACTAGCTACTTCCACGTCATTTCACCTACTCTACTCGACTCCTATGGATTGTAGCTTAATGTTTTATATAGCTTTCCTCGACAAATATCCATATATGCAAAAAAAAAAGAATTTCTCAAATCGAACCAGTAGTTAATGAGATTGTCGCGTACAAATTAACAAACACTTCAGCTTCATAATCTATCTATACTTATAATAAATCTGTAGAGAGGTCAATTCTGTACATAAAATATATTTAAAAAATAACTATCAAGGGGTGGTTAGGGATCGCCACTGATGCCAAAAATGCAATCAGTAAAATTTTTGTCTGTCTGTCTGTCTGTCTGTATGTTCGTTATGGAAACAAAAACTACTCGACGGATTTTAACGAAATTTGGCACAATTATTCTTCATACTCTTGGGCAGGTTATAGTATACTTTTCATTACGCTACGATCAATAGGAGCAGAGCAGTGAAGGGAAATATTGGGAAAACGGGAGAAGTTACTCCATTTTTAAGCTTCCGTCGCGTGTGCAGGCTTATAGGTTAAAGCTACATAGAAATCATGTACGACGGAAATATTCTCCTTAAAATTATATAAAAAATATTCCTCGACAGCACATGTCTATCTTTTATGGTTGACTCACAATAACACGTGAAACTCCCAATAGCTTAGCAATTCGGTGATTTCTGATTGTATTTGTCTACTCTAACGTTTACAATACTCATTCATAGACTTTACGCTGTAACCGAAACGCCAATGGTTTAAATTAGCTTGACTCGATATTATAAATGAAAATATGTGAGTTTATGTGTATGTTTGTTACTCAGTCATATTAAAACGACTGAAGGGACCGGAATGGAATTCGGAACAGAGGTAGATTATGGTCTGAAGTGATACATAGGCATTTTACCGCTGGGATCGCGGGCGAAGCCGCTGGCAGAAGCTAGTAGTAAAATAAGATTTACATAATGTACTTCTTCTATTGTATAAATATACTTAAGAATTAAGTAATAAAATGATGTAGGTACCTACGTAAATAGAAATAGGTAACAAATTTGTATGTACATACTACGTAGCTAATTTACTTTTTCAAAATCCGCCTTGAAGGTCTCGGAAATTTTACACGTGTGCGCGTGTAGCATATGTAAAATAATAAAACAAAATCAAGGTAGTTTATATAAATCGTTGAGGAGTTCTCTCAAAGTCAAAGTGAAAGTCAAAATCATTTATTTCAATTAGACCAGGAAGGCACTTTTGAACATCACAAAATAGGTATTTAAATATTAAATAATAAGAAAAAATGTCAGTCTGTATGTGCATACGAGGATATAGTGCCACGGCACTATATATCTGTTTTTTTATATTTTATGGGCCGACGTTTGATCACTATCTCGCCTGGTGGTAAGTGATGATACGGTCTACGATGGAGCACGTAGTCCCAAAAGCAACCTATCCACTATTATAATTTCTATCTACCAGTACCACCAGGAGAAATAAGTCCTCTGGTGTTACGAGTGTTCCTATAGGTGGTGCCAATTGCTTACCATCAGGATTTTAGTCAGGTTGTTGGTCACCGATCCCATAAAAAAACTAATCCCAAAAAACGCATCCCATAAAAAGTGTGATAGAGCCATGCTTTGGTACGAACTGGTAGGCTCGACCGGAGTGATACCACAGCCTCACAGAAAATCGACGTGAAACAACGCTTGCGTTGTGTTTCGTCGTATGAGTGAAGTTACCGAAGGACCAATTCCACCCCCCCCCCCTTCCCCGGTTCCCCAATCCCTGAATCAAACAATCCCCAACAATCCTCAAACTCCTAATCTCCCAAAGACCGGTAACGCACTCGTAACGCCTCTGGAGTTCCAGGTGTATAGACACCTGGAACACTGACGGGCGACGCCGATTGCTTACCATCAGGTGATCCGTCTGCTCGTTTACCAGCTTATCCTACAAAAAAAAGTGTATGTACAATTTGAACTTACTCAGACGAAAGAACTCGTGAGCAGCTCGCGAACTCTGCGATGTCACACGCAGCTTTGTATCCAGGATGTGTCTCTATTGCCATCTCCACGTACAAGGCGTAAGTCGAGAGCAGGATTCCAATGATGCTGGTCAGCGCGATGGCACGGTCCAAGGATTTCGGCTTCATTGTTGATCTACAAATTATATTATATTTTTAATAAATGTCCTATACGAAAACGCTACTATCAATAAGGAACTGGGCTCCAATCCACTAATTAACATAACTTAACATCACGCCTTTTATCCACGAAAGAGTAGGCAGAGGTGCACATTAAGGCACTTAATGCCACTACAATATGACATCTAGTTTTCACTAATTATATTATGAGTATAGGGAGTGAGCCTATTGCCATATACCGGGCACATTTCCAGACTCTGTGCTACTACTGAGATTTATTAAAAAAAAAAGACAGTAATACTTTGCCCGTCCACTCGGCCAATGAGGCAGTCAACGACAACCGTTTCGTATTGTTTCTAAAGCAAAAAACGCTGAGCCGGGGCAATGCCGTAGCTGTGCCGCTGTTCTTGTTAGGTATACGTTGACTTTAACTCTGTTTTTCTAATAATTATCGTGAGACATACCAAATTAACTAAAAATCGCGGGTTACTCACGTGAATATACTGATGAGGAAGTACCCATCTATGGTTCGAAACTAGTAGAGCTTTTCTCAGTATACCTCTATTCACGTGAGTAACCCGCGATTTTTATCTCTTTATAAAAGGTCACTGAGTGGTCGATACTCGATATCCGAATCTGAATGCAAATAATTATAAATTCGTTAGGTAATATACCTACATTTTATCTGATATTTAAAATCGATACATTTGACATTGTAAGTATCGTTTTATTTGTTTTAATTAATTATAAATTCTCACGCATATCAAATAAGAATATTAGCATAATGCACTCCTATTATCATCAAGTAAATTTCATACTCCTTCAACCGCTTTGAATTCTAAATATGATCTTATTTAAAATCGCAAACACTGTTATTAAACGAAAACATATATCTACTGGATCCACTATTTGTACCACAGAAATACCAGATAATATAGAACCTACATATAAATGCATTTTGCAATTCAAATCAGAAATACGTGTGTCTAACAACTTTGATTAGTAATGTACCTTTCGAGACAACACATCCATTCAAATTACATACACGAATAAAGGTCAGCCGCAAAGTGAAGGTTATCTGCCAAGCAATTATAAAACAAAATGAAATTTAACGTTTGGATAAATAGTTTCGACTAAATTTTGTTGCTCACACACGAGAAAATACAGACTGACTTACCTATTAACGCTTCGAAAGTAAAATGGACTTTTAGACATCTCATGTAAACATTCCCACAAAATACACTAAATCCATCTAAAAAACTTGTTAAAATAAACACAAAACAAACAATATTGATGATTTTACATTAATTCTTGAATCATTCATTGTATATTTAACTACCGATACACAACGCCAAAGTAATTTATGCGTTATCGATAAATTTCTCCTATTTTATTTTAACTTCATTCATATTCATGATGCGTCAATTTTAATATTCTCATGAATTCCGATATATTTTATTAATTTCAACATTTGCATTGAGTCATAATTATTTATTAATAGTTTGTTAATTTATTATTTTATGCTTCATATTGGCATTCGTATCGAAGCAAAAAAAGTACCACAGTAGGTACTTATAAAATCAAAATACGATTCGTTATAAGTTTTATCCGCATACATTCACACGTTCTTTAGCGATGTAAATCAATTTTATTTTTAAAGGGGAGGCCGAATGCTCTACACAGCAAAATAAAAAAAGCGCCGTTTAGTCCTAAGTCCGCTTCGCCACCCCTTCGTGTACACACGGCATTATAACCATACAGTACCTACTAAAATTAAAAAGAAAATAAACAATACATGCTCCGTCGGAGGTCTAACGTTTTATTAGCATAAAACCACTAGAGCATTAAACACTAATCTTGTTAACACACTCGAAAAACTGCCCACCACAAAATATTCTTAAAATAACGAATTTTGCATACAACATTTTGCACAGGTGGCAACTAAAAACTCGTTTTTAATAACACGATATTGTTTTTATGCCATATTATTATGTAGGTAATTATAAACATCGTTTTATTACACATGTATGGGTGCCGCAAACTGATGGTTGGCTGGTAAAGATGCACAATTATTGTTACTAACACAACACATTTATTAATATAATCAATAACATACCTGTAATTACACAGTACGATAACACACAAAATCAATGTCCAAGTCACGCGGCGAGAAGATAATTATGTTCGTAATACAACAGTAAATGTTTCATTACATTTTATTATCAAATCGACAGCAATGAATATCGTGTATTAATTGATAAGTCTCCGGCGAAGCTCGTGCTCCGTTCATAACATCCCAAGCTCAACTGGATCTATAACATCGTTTTCTTATGATTAAATCCATATTTTATACATAAAGGTATATAAGTTTATTCACACGCAGGTACAACGGTCACGTACTTTGAACTGTTTCAACTTATAGGCAACACAAACTGGTTATCCATATGAATGTTGAAGTAATAATATATTCTAATGAAGATTAATTTAGACATAATGTAAAGATAAATCAAATATTATTTAATTGTATACTTAGTATGTAAATTTATGTGTATTTTAGAAGTTTTAATCGAGCTGTCGTTAGACTTATTATAAAAGTGAAGAAATAATCTGGCGACGAAAATAAGTATGCATAGTTTTATGATGTAAAATATTCGTTAAATAATTTAAGTTGTACTCACTTCAATGCATTTAGTTATTAGTAGATTTGTTTCTAATTAACTTGTATATTGTAAGCTGGTAAATAACAAAGGAGATTTATTAAAGACCATTAACATGAAGCAGTTTCTATCCAAAAAGGAATCATGATACATGAAGGTAAGGCAAATTACAGGATCGATTACATAGTGTTGAACTTTATTTATGATTATTATGATTATAAATCATATAATTTATGAAGCTTGCACGTTACGCATCATGCTCATAAGAGTATAATAAAAAGGCGCCAAAGACTGTTGTGGATAGGTTCACATCAATCAGGCAAATGATGAGACTTAAGCGAAATTAAATTTAAATAAAGAACATCAAGTACTTATTGACTGCCTCCATAGTCGATAGTAGAGTTGCCACAATATTCCGAACAAAGGTTTAGATTTCCCGGTCGAACGAAACATTGTTTTTTTTTGTTTCTTAAAAATAAGACGAAGTCTTTATGATTGCAATGGAGCCCCCTATTGGCAAGAAACGGGAATCACAGCTGGCGCTAGTCCTGCTAGTAAACCTAACACCGATCTTTTTGATCGATTGAACATAGGAGCGTTGGAGATGAAAAGTTATGCTCTGAGTACCTATATCAAACGTAGCAATACTATTTCTTTACCAATTCCTTATACATTTCTTCATCTTAGTTTATAACTAACTACTGTCAGCTTGCCGCTGGGTACTGATAACAGATAAACAAATCTGTATATTAATGCTAAGTCCCCATATTAATGCCAAGTCCCCAAGCGGTGTCGCGAAGAACCTAACGGGTAACCGGGGCTCCCTCTCGACGTGCAGGAGAAGGAACGGGGTGGTTTTTAGTCAGTAAGAGTCTGACACTCCCTTCCGCCTCACCCAGACGGGAGCAGTCATTCGATGATTTTCCCCCCTTAAAAAAAAAAAAGTCCCCAAGCGGTCACCGGTGACCGCTTTCCTCTAACTCCATTACAGCCCTTATTTCGGATAAATAGAGACTATTTTTGTATAAACAAATGTTGTGGATTTTTCTTAATCGTGGATTTAGAAGTTAAAGTAATTTATGCGTGCAACGACACCAGGCAAAGTCACTGTTCACGGCTAGTTAGGTAATTATTTTCTTAAAGCACAGCCCTTCCTCTTATCATCGTTCGTTCATAACCTAACGGTAATTAGACCTCTAAAAATCCGGTACTGGGTCGGTACTGAGTCATTAAAAAGCTTGAACAAAATGTAAGGAAACAAAGTACTTTTTTTGTTAAGAAGTTAGTGAATAGTCTGTCGCAATAATGTTTAACAATGCCATTATTAGGTGATTCTTAAATGAATAACAATAAAACAAGTATTGTTACTTTCTTCTGGCTAACGTAAGTAGGTACTTTTCAACAGTAGCCGAAGATCTGTATCAAATGTTACTCTTAATACAGACCTTCGGCTATAGTTAAACATTATAGGTTACAAGTCGCATTTCCATAAAACCTCTTTCAGTGCTGGCGTTACACCACCACTGACACCCCGGTCGAAAATATTGTGGCGCCCACTTGAGGAAAGCAATATCAAGTGTTAGTTTTTTATTTTATATTTTTTTACATTTTTTTTGTTTTTTATTACATTTTTATTTTTTAAAATATTTTTATTCCTTTTGAAAGTCAAAGTCAAAGTCAATTCCTTTTGATTTTTTGTCATTCACATATTTTTTCAAATTTATTTTCAAATTTAAATTCCTCGCACATTTTTTTTGTACTTTTCATTTAGATTGAACATTTTGTTAATTATCGATCAACTTTCTTAAATAAAAATATGCATATGCACAGATTCTGAGCGTTTAAGAGAGGAGAGAGAGAGACTCCAACTTCAGACCTTGGCGCCCCCCAGAATTTGTCGCCCTGGACCATCGCCCCATTTTCCAAAGATTATTATTATTACTTACATAATAAGTAAACTGTAACGAACATTATATAAAACATTTTTTGTTAAAATGCAATTATTGTGAAAAATTTATTAACGTTGTGAACATTTTTATTTTAACAGCAGTGTAGAAGTATAATTATGTAGATGTGATTAGGTACCTATTTCGATATTTTAGAGGAACTGCTATGCCTTTCAAAAAAATACACAAATTTTCAAGTTAGTCCCTAAATTCTACGGTACATCAATTAAAACGTAAGCTGTACTCGTATTTTCCCAATGTTTAAAGTTAATATTATGCGTAAATATTTTTGTATCAACGACGTTACCCAAAGCGTAAAAAAAATAAATTTCATAAATTCTGAACGTGACCTATCAACGAAACGTCAAAATCAACCAGTGTAATCAGCACATGCACAAACTTCATTTTATTACTTCTTTTCAAACATTCGACTTGGTCTCCATCATCGACACTGTGTATTTATTAGTTCAAAGTATACCAGAGAAAATATAAACACCGTGCCCACAGATTAATAATAGTTGGAATACTTCTGTTCCAAACAAATGTCTCATTTCGTTCACCAATACCAACATTACAAATCAAACTATGATATTGTATCCTCAATATTACGGATTGTAGCAACTAGTATCTGAGACAACAGCTAGATAATAGTTTAACTAATTATTACAAAACCACATAATTACAATGTAAATTGTTATACAATAACAGCGTTAAATAAAAACTCTCTAATTTGAATTTATTATTACAATCAAAAAAAGAGACAACCTTACCAGTTAGAAGAGTACGTCCTAGCGCCACATTGCCAATGACGCCCAGTATCGCGGAATGTCTGTGCATTAGGTTGGCAGCACTGCTTTTAGTTCACCATCGCGACCGCAACGCAGCGTTGGCGTCGTGTAACACCTTTCATTGTATTGACTATTGACTGATTCTGAACACAGAGAATAATGTATAAAGTTAATTTATCGTATTATTGTCTTAGTTCTTGTTAAAATATATAGTAGTATGTTTTAGTTTAAGTGGAATAATGCCTCCGTTTACGTGAATGTGAAAGAAAGCAGCCCGTGGAGTGCTACGCGGCCATTTTACTTGCAATGCGGCAACGGTGTACGATCCGCCATTGGAAACGGCCAGTGTCTTTTTCTGAGTGCAAGATTTATATTTCGTTGAATAAAGCGGCGTAGAAACCACGGATAACCATGTGTGATAAAAGTGTAGTGCGGACTTTAGTGTAGTGAAGCACGGTGGTCGGGTGTTTCGAATAATGTGTGAACGATGGAAAACGAAGTGAAGCAGCGCAATCAGAGAAACAGGCGAAGGGAGCGGGCACAGCGCATGCAAGCACAGCGAGAGAGCAAAGTTAAGGATGGAGACAGCGGCGAGGACGAGTCTCCGACGAGAGAGAAGCCGCCTCGTCCTCCTGCCAGGAGGAAAAAGTCGCGGGAGCCGCTGGGAGAAGAGGATATCATCGATGGTTTCGCCATAATGGCATTTCGCACATATGAAGATCTCGAGGTAAGTACTGAATCATCAGAAATGTTTTATTTCATACCCTATATCGTTGATAACAAAGTGACAAGCAATATATATGTATTTTTCAAGAAATTACCTTGTGTATTGCCTTTATATACCAATTCTATATTGCAAAAGAGCCACTAAAGGTTGTTTACATTTGCATAATAACCTATAGCCTTGCAATTATCGCCTCTATGTCTATGTCAAAAATTGGATAATTATCTGGCACCGTGATGACGACATCTATTGTCGTCATATGCTGTTGCTACCACCAAAATTAGTAGATTTAGCTGAAAGAAATATTAGGCAAGTGGAACAAAATTAGTCTACTAGGATGTGCAGACTCTTGAATCCCATTATAAAAAACGGCGCTCTGTAATCGCTTTGGACGTCGCCTCGGAAGTGCATTGACCCAACGAATGAACCCTGCGTGTAAAAAGTAGATAGTGAAATTTAGTTGTTATTTACGTAAATGAAAGTAGGTCTTTGTATAGTTTGATAAAAATAAAACCTGTATTGATGGAGTGCTATATTATCTGTACAAGTATTTAGCGGTTATGTATTATGTAGTGAGCAGCTGACTGTGTACGGGCGCGCCTGTCGTCGGATCGCTGAGCCGTTCTCGGCAAGCGAGTTGCAGCCGCGGTCTCCCACAAAGTGTAAATTTGGTCTAAGTGGCTTTCGCTCGTTTGTGCTCATTTATCGCGCCGTCCTCGAATGGCAATATGTTGTGTACGTTGAAGTCTCGTATGTGCACAATAAAACTACATTCCCCGCTATCGTTTTAAATTATGGCGACAGGCTTGCCGTTTGTGGCTCGTTGGAGCGGCGCGCGCGTATATTATAGGCCCGAACAGGTTCCTTTGCTCCTATTTAATTCACCACATGTGGTTTGCAATGCTTATGCAATTCCTACTTACAATGGTCTGTAAGTTAATTTTCTTCTGTAAAACAAACTAGATTATCTACTTATCATAAGTTGGTAGGTACAGTACCTACCGATGACACGTAACTACTATTTATCAACAGAATTTGCTTCATCCAAATGTAAATAATTACATAAAATCTAAGTAACGGCTGATGTATCTACAGATATTGATAACACTTAGTTCAAAATACGTAAGTAAGTATGTAATAAACATCTACGTTTACTCGAAACCTGTAATAATATTATACCTATAATATAACCTACCTACCCAGCCAGTAAATTCGTAAGCTAACTATCAAAAGAGTCATAAAAGTAAGTTAGTGTCAATTAAATCGAGTATCATTCACTATTAGTTACTTACAAAGTTATGTTAAGATGTGATTTTCCATGACATTTAGGTAGGTAGGTACTTATCTTATGTGTTAGTAACAGCTATGTTATAAAATACAACCTGTAACTAGTTTATATTAAAAGGTAAGTAAGTCTACCACATAAATAAGTAGGTACACTATGAACATTGGTAAATAAACTTGATAAAGTAGACTTTCTTACAATGGTTTGTTTATGCAAGTTTATAAGTAGCTACATAGCAGTAAGGTATGTTTATGCAGTGTTATATCGTTAATATAAATTATTTACTTACGACTTGAAGCAACAGCAACACGATAACGTTTGAATAGTTCCAATTAGAAAGCTTTACATAGTACATAATAAAGTTCTGTACGCAAATAGTAATAAGAACTGAAACCACAGACGAACCAATGTTGCATTAACTGTAAATCTGTTATTTCATGTACTAAAGTTATTCAGAACGAGTTTAAACTCGAAAAAACAAAGGTTATTGTTGAAATGAAACATTATCGCCTTACATGTTTTGTTAATTTTAGACGCGGTTGCGTAGCATTTCAATGTAAACCATGTTATAGGTATAAAGGTTTTTTCTTGTGGTTCTTTACTGTTAATGTTTTGTTTACTTTATGATCCGTGCTCTTTAATTACGTAAAATCTCGGCAATTTAATTAGTCAGAAATGCTTTTTATTTATTTATTTATTTATTTAATCTTTAATGTACACAATTTTAATATGGCACATAAGGCGGACTTAATGCCATATGGCATTCTCTACCAGTCAACCTTAGGGTTTAAATAGAAAATCTGCGAAAAATAAGGTACATTTACATTTTATCTACATTGAATCAATATAGATTCATCAAAAACGTAATTACGAAAATCAAATACTTAATTATGTTACCTTTATCAACGTAACATCTGTTGATTGTTGATTTCATGTGTATTTAACTATTGCAGCAATCGTGTAAATGATATATAGATATCTAGTTTTACCTAGAAATGCTTTGAATGAGCAATTAGGGAGATAATGAATGAATTTAAAAACACCGCGGGTAAAGTAGATTCTGTTCATTGATAATATATTTACAGGTACTTGAAATCTTAGTTGTAGATTATTTATAAGTACAGTTAATCGAATAAAAACAGTCGAGCGTGACGATGTCGTCAGACGCCTGTAGAGGCGACGATCGACTCTTGAATATCCAACAATTACCTTGGCGTTAACTTACTATTTTCCCACGGCCATAGGCGCGTCAAGTTGTCACGGATTTTAGTACAAAAAATATCGATTTATTTTACGAATTCCCATGATCCATATGCCTGGAGAAAAGTAATGATTTCTTATTCCTCTAATATTCTTTGTTATTTAGTAGTCTAGTAGTTATTCGTAATATTTGAAAGAGTAGCAACTTGTCATAGAGCAATTTATTTGTATTAAAACAGTTTACAAATGGCGAAATTATAGTGAGGACATAAATAAAGCTCTGTTACAAAACCAATTACAAACCTTAAATTTCGACTACAAACTGATTCTTTTTAAATATAAAATAGGTATTTAACTGATAAGAAATGAATCTTCAAAATAATTTGAAAAGTTGTAAGGTCCATTTACCTGATAAGCGGTTGAGAAAAATTGGATGGGGCATGAAGAAGTTAGCGGGCGTGAAATATCGTAGACATCGGATTTGCCGAGGGAAGCCCGCTTGGAATTAATTTTCTTCGTAGTTTTTATATTGAAAAATGTTCGGAACAGTTTTGAGACATACGTAATTTGTTTTATATAAAATGTAGTACAAACAGCATTAATCTACGTTAGTTTACGTGTTCGAAATAAGTGTAGTGTAATATAAATTCAGGCATGTTTATGAGTATTTTTAACAAATTAAAATATTTAACGGATGTTTACAAAATGAACAAGTCACGTTTAAACTCTGCAAAATGCTTTTACGTAGCAATCACGGCGGTATTACTGCCAACTCTTACTTAGTAAACCACCGAGTAATAAACATTAATATTACTAATCTGCGAGGGTTTTGCCACAGAGCTGACAAAGGGATTTACCTCTCAACGTAATTTGTATAGAAATTAGTTTTCATCGTCGTTATCTCTTAAGCCTTCCTAAAGTGTTATTTGTAATCGAAATCAGGTCAGATATTCAGTTTTTATAAAATTGGTCTGACGAGAATAAATCGGGGCATTACCTACATCACCGAAGGACATTAAATCGCTATCGCATTTATGCTGTTTATGGCTTAACGATTGCATTTCAAAGAACCTGTTAAAAGTCCACGTGGGCGAGACAATAAAATGCGATAAAAGACTAATAAGTTAAACGCACGGATCGCGTTGAATGCACTTCGGTTAAGTCAACATATTTTTATACAAAATCAATATCGTTCGCCTTGAAGGTAAACCACACGGCCGGGAGCACCGATGTCTCGGGGATACTAACACCCCTTTGACCCATCCCCTCGTAGTATTCCCGTGAGTACAATGTTAGCACGTTGTGACATAAATACTTACCTGAGAAAAGTTTAAAACTACATCGTTTCGCTTTTATTGCCACTCAATGAAACCACGTTTTATCTTTTATTTAGGCCAATTTGTTCTCGATTCGAATGCACAATATAGTGATGTAAGATTATTACTTATGTTTGTACGCTGTAACAGGCCGACTAGTCGCGTTGAGTGGGCAATGAATAGGCCTTTGGTTTCGTAAACACGGCCAGCTCATTCATTCTGTTATAACTATACCAACAGTGAAGAAATAACTTAGCAAATAGAAGACATTTTAGTCCTTAGTTTTAAAGATTTCCTAAAAGAAGAAGTCTTGAAGATCTTATCGTAGGTAGCTGTTAACCCGACAGTATGTAGGCGGTACTTAAACAACAAATTGAAACGAACCGCCGATGACCCGACATGCGAGAATTCTTGACCTTGACCCAAGTTGAACAGATAAGGCGATGATTGTTATCAGATACATGACCTGTAATTGAGAAGGCAAATGTCATTCTATATGATGATAAATAATAATTTATAATACACACTGTTGTCTCGCTCGACTTTGCATAGGTAGTTATAATATTATAGAAACAATTTAAATTAATTAATTAACAATAATATGAACAATGCTTTCCTCATGAATGGGATTTCGATAATCACTTTCATGAATGTGCTGTTAATTTGTACGTCATTTGCTGTTTATAGGAACTATATGTATACGTACATTTACGTAATATATAGGTAAATAATTTTATTTATGAAAGTTACACCATTTCTGTAAAGTCAAAATGTTAATATGAAAACAAAATTTATAGTAAGTAATGTTACTTTGAATTCATTTTAATTACCTAATAAACTTAGAGTATTAATTAAAATAAATGTACAAATATGGTTAACTGTCTGTCCTCCACAATAAGACACGATCTATTCTAATATAAAATAAATATTCTTAAAACTGAATTGTATTATGTATTCAATCGATTATTTACTGTTACGTCTTATTGTTATGCATCGATTTGCTATTACATTCTTCACCCAAGTAATCGTCATAGATCGTCTGGAGGTGATTGAACACAATACCTACGTAAACTATGTATAGTATGTAGGTACTGTTGTAAATGTATGTATGTACCATTAAAAATTTATTAAATGTGGTACCCAGGTACAATTTAAACATGATAAGTCTAACATTATAGTAGGTATATATGGTACATAGATTGTGCGTTTATATTATACCTTCAGTAGTCTGTTCAGAATATTAATATACCGATGCCACTGTAACATGTCATTAACTTAATATTTTACTAAATGATATTCATGAATTAAAAAAAAAAACACAATGTCATTAATAAGTGCCGTAATGTGCACTGCCTAACCCTTCGGGGATAAAAGGCATGATTTTATGTTATGTAAAAAAACCGTAAATAAACAGTAATCTAGAAGGAAAATACATAAAATGCTACCTTTGTCAATAGTCTCTCTTCTATTTCATTACTAGAGTTTAGCTCTGTCTATTCCTTCCAGGAATAACCACTGTGATGTTACCTCGCGTATGTAGAACAAAGAACGTAGGTACATTAAAGGAAAACAAAACAGTTATTGGTTTTTCGACGAATTCAACTGTGAACTGCTATTGTCATTTTTTTTAAATTTCACCTCGATAAAGTAAATGTTTTCTCCCGAAATAAATATTGTATTTTGGTTCAGTATGAACCAATAAAATATACTGTTACCAGACACGATAACCACGTATATGTATTGTTATAAAGACTATAAAATATATTTTCAACGTTCAAAAATAAAAACAGACGCCAATAACTACTTACATACAACCAAAAATGCATTCATACTGAGAGAATGCGAAATAAAAACAGTCGTAACATTGTTTCCACTTTATGGAAAATAAAACTTGCTACTTCACAAACAAATTAACAATTTAAATATCACTCTGCATTTCATAAAGGAAAGAACACAACGTAAAACTCAAAGGTTGTTCTGTAAAACAGATCAAAGAAAATAAAATGTCGTTCAATTTAGATTTTTAATGGTAAATGTATTACCCTCTCGAGAGAGAGTCCTTATAAGATGTGCCAAGTGTCCCAAGTGGCGAGAATCGCGATGTCGATGCGGCGCCGACGTCAGGGGATATTCGGCGGCGGGCGGCTGCGGGGCGGTCGCGACGTATCTCGGCGATCTGCCCGCGATCGACCGCACAGCCTCTCGGCCATCGCGATCTAATAGCCTGAAGAGTGCCGCAAGAGCCAATGTGAATATGTCGCTCCAGCCGCTGCGACTTGTGACTCCACTTGACTACGTAGAGCACCGTTTTGAGGGCGCCCTTATCGGATTTGGCTCTTAATATGCGTAACTTTTGTACTATTCAATTTCTAATCTCATTAGAGCCTACACATATTTACTAAAACGAACAAAGTTCAGTTGTTAGTCTAGTAATAACTCATTGTATAACTAGTTTCTCCATTTACTTGCTATTCTACTTCGTGATGTAAAGACTTTCCTACCTATATCATTCTAACAATAGAATGCTAAATTGCTTTGTGTTTCAATCTTTACTTCACTTTCGAAGTAGTCACTTTTGAGTTCAGCCTGACACAATAATTAATTTATTATTCTTGGAACCAATAAATAACTAGTAGAGATACATTACGAGTGTTTACTTCATAATCTGTTATTGTAACTTGGAAAATAATTTCTCTTCGTGGCCGCAATTATTCATTCTGTTATTTATTGATTATCTACCGTGAACCGTGTATTAGCGTGGAGTACGCGACATAATATAAACATTAGTAACATATTACTCCATTATCGCTAAATACACGTCAACTAGAGCAAATGTTTACCGAGAAGTTGTTAGCTATGCGACGGTGTCGGTCGAGAGCGGACGTGTTTCGCTGTCTGACTTCGACCGATAAACAGTGAAACCTATGAGATATTTATTGCCTTCGATGTAAAGAATAATGTTGATAGTTCGTATTTATCTTTTTATTGTATACTTCTGCAGGAAATTGTAAATAATGTTTCACTTAACACGATGCTATTAAACTTCAAAAGTAGTTGTGCTAATAAGTGTGTTTAGCTGATTGCTTTTCAATTAAGCCAGCATTATAACAGGAATGTAATCCAAACGTAACGGGATTCCTATTGAGGTCACATTCACAGGAAGCAATGATTTTAATAATGCCATAGCGAGTTATAAACTGTGGATCTTATTAGATAGCACACCGCTACCACGCAACATTACTTTACATGAAAACTAGTCTTTATTCCCTGGACGTTTGAGCGTGTGGCAGTTGACAAGCCAGGTAATCGGTTCGTAGCACGCGACATACATTTACAAACATTTCGATTACATCCCTTCATATTTGTTTTCACGCGCTACTATTTCGCCCCATTCAATTATACTGTTATTGGGGCTTCTGTTTCACTCGCTGCTCGCTTTAAATATTCATACGCATACATTTATTATGTGTTATTTATTATTTACAACCTATAACATTCACTCTGTTGGTATTCTGGAAATGATTTCAAACAATATATGTTTTATTAATTGGAGTAGGTAATTGGCTTAATCCTGTGATTATTAACGTAAGCTATCTTATCTTTAACTGAGTCAGACCTATTCTGAATGACGTCTTAATTCAATACGTATTATAATTTGCTTCTTGTAAAGTAAAATGATTATTATTAAACCGACATCTTTAGTACTCATGATTTGTCTACCTGCACGATAGTCGACTACCCAATACCATTCTAGCAGTTCTTTTGTTAATTTTTTTGGCAGATTTTTTGTACGGCTTCTTGTTAAACAGAAAAAAGACATGTTTTTTTTCTCGTGGTTTCGGCATTATCTTACAACAATAATTATTTTCTAAACATCATTTATATCCGGTACCGTTTGGTTTTTTTGATGCTTCACTTTTTCTTACCCAAATAATTGGTTTTGGGAACAATTCAGCTAGATGATCTTACACGCCTCCTACACACGTTACTTTCATTTTACTACACAAAATCTACATAAGAATTACCTTAATCGTATATCGTATTAGTAAAAGTGCCACGACTCTTTTAATTCCACAGTAACACCAAATGAAAAGGTTTTTAATGATAAAGAAGAATAATTGAATATCAGAATATAATTAGGTACTGTAGAACTGATTATTCACAGTCAATTACGCGCAGTCGGCGCTGCTTGGATTTAAATTATTACTACAGATTAATTTTGCTGTTGAAAATACTGTTACCTGGGGCGAGTTAATTATTTCACTATCTATAACCGTGTTGGCTCAGCAGAGGCGGGTACGATACCGCCGACCTTTTGCCACATTTAAGCCTTTCAGTAGTTTATCAGGCTCTATTTTTAACACGGTTTTTTATTATAGGTATCTTGGTTCTTTTACAGTTTACGTTCATGATAATAAGGTTGCATAAATTAAATGATGCTCGAAGCGCCGATTAAAGGTCATCGAGAAGAAGACTGCCTTCGCTCATAAATCTAGTTTGGTGCAGATATTACAGAACTTCGAAATACCCATTTACGTTTTACAAAAAGTATTTTTCTTATCGTTTCTGGAAACGATTGGCTTTGTGACAATCTGATAATGTACCTACCTAACAATATGAGAACGTAGGCACTTAATGCCAGAGATTTTATACACGTTGCCATATAATTACCTCACTTGACATGGCCTAGACCTGTTAATAATAGCATATTAAAACTTCTCTCACCAAGACGTTCGTGTTATCCATAAAATTACATCTTGTTCGATCTATTAGAAAAGTGGTATAATCGTTCATTATCACGCAGCTCAGTATCTAATCCGCGCTGTGCTACCACGCCGCCGGCTTGTCTGATGACTTAATTAATGACCCGCCGTGTCGCTGTTAATTAAACAGCTCAGGCAAATTGAAGCTCATGCCTGAGCCCGCGGCTGCTACCAGATTAAAAACAAAATGCAATTTTGTGCGCACCACGCGACCCGTACTAAGTGAGATTAACGCACAAGGCCGGAGTTAAGGACATGGTTTGCAAAAAGAGCTGTATGAAGTATCCATCTATGTTAACACTCCTAATCAATTCACTCATTTGAAAGTCGTGGGAAGAAACGTAAATAAACAAATATTGAAACAGTTAATATTTGATATGCGTGAGACCTGTCATGTAAATTATATCAACATACGTTTATCTATGACAGATTAATATTATAGACCTCCGATGGTGTATGTTAATGATATTATGGTTTTATTAAACCAACTACACGTCAGTTACTACTGTCACAGATATGTAAACTTGTTTGCCTTAATCAGAAAAAGTACTTAAATTATAATGACGTGTTAATTTATTAAAGCACGACTCATGTAGCGGTAAAGCCCGCAAAATGGCAAATAGCATTGGCGACCGCTAGCGTTGCCTGTTTAGCGAGGTAATTGAGCATGTAGTGAGCATTTCCAGTCTCATCTCCGAATATAATTTTGAATTTATCCAACGGAAAATAATTCTGAACTGTAATTTCTACTGTGCGGATGACAGGTTATTTGTGAACACAAACAAGCGTAATTTAATAACGTTATTAATACACAAATTACGATATAATAAAAGTAATGCGCATCTAGAATTTATTATGTTTTAAACAATAAGGATTGTTTATACAACTGAGCAGAGCAGTTTAAGAAATATTACTTAAACCTTCACTTTTATTTATAATTGGTTTTGTAACTAATGCAATGTTTTATTTTCTTGTTGTTGTGTCGAACACATAATATTGTGAATTCTTCGTCATAAATGAATTCAATTGAAATTAATGAAAGTGTTTTTTGATTGAAAATAAATCAAAGCTTAATATAGTTATTTTTTAAATCTGCAGTAATTCAACCATTTCGACGTTGTCTCGTTAATTATTGTAAATTTATTAAGTGATTAAATTCGAACGACTAGTTTTTGTCGAATATTCTGTACGAGTGGCTTAATTAATACAATAATATATTCATGAGCTGAACGTAACAAATTATTGTAACTGGCCATTATGATGTTATTATCTGATCTTTATAATGGTGATATCAGTACTGTCACATTAGTGATTAATATGTTGTTGGTGAGGCAATTACAGCAAATGACCGTTGTCGGCGAGCCGCCCGCCGCCCGCCGAGGTGTGACCGCGTAGTAGCGTAGGTAGGCGATTACCTTGCGGCCCACTGAGTTATTGACCGATGCTAATTATTTGACAGCGTCTTGTAAACACAGAACGTGACGTTTACACCATGTTAACATGTTAATTGCTGAATCACGAGATCACCACCTCTATATTGTTCTATTTAACGTCTAAAAGGTAACAATTATGTACTTACAACAGAATGAAGGTTACTTATTATGTTAATAGAAACTACGCTATACATACTTGTTCACATCTTTAATTTATCTATCTTTCCCACGGGGAGCAACGCCGTCGGCAGAAAAATAGCCCGCCCGATTTCTGTGAATTCGTGATAACTTTTTTTATGAGGCTGAAATGAATTGTATAAAATCTTTTGTGGAAGTCGCAAAGTTCTTGAGAGAATTTTGCTTTCGTCGCAGTTCTTAAGAGATTTATACCTTGTAAAATGAAGTTTATCTCTCTCTTTTATTATCTTGTGTGGGTAATTGAGTTTACTTTTCCATGTATTTATTTTCTCAGATGTTATCATCTGTGTTCTTAAGCACTTCTTTTCTTTACTCAACTCCTGTACATTATAAATAAATAAGCACGATTTATTGATTAAGTATTTATTTTAATATTCTAGACTAGAAGAAAAATACAATCGGCAATAAAAAGACAATAAAATAACCCAGTTTGTTTGTTTCTTTTGGTATTTCATCGAACAGCTACCGCAGTATTATGTTAAATGCATCGTTAATACAAACGGTGTAAGCTATCAGCTGTGGGTGTGGAGCGTGTAGTTTATTGTTATTATTTATTCACGTTGGGCGGTCACGGTAACACGTGTCGTTTGCGGCACGGCACGAGCCACTTACATCAAGATCATAGTCGACATAGTACGTCTTATTCCCATCCTCAAAGCTGACTAAACACTCTCACACCAATTTACCACACACCCTCCAGCTATTAAATCGAGGGTGAAGGGGTTACGCGTGTACTATTGTTAATTCACTCCGAGAGCTCTGCCTTTGTGTTGTTTGGGTACAACTAAGACTATTATGACAAGTCGATTTCTTGCTGAGGTTTGTTGTTCTGCTGGCTTTAAGTAACTTTTTTATCTTGTCTGCTATTTGTTCTGTACTATTGTTTGTTTTGTACTATAATAGTTACAAACAAGAAGTATAAGCCATTATAAAATAAACATACGTTGTTTAAAATGCGTAGTTGGGAGTCCATTATCTTTATTATTTCTTTGCAAAAAAGCTAACCATTGAACGACCGACAAAATAAAATCAATATTAAAAGAAACAACATAACTACGCAACAGTAACGGTTATGATGCCTGTGAATTATCCCCTGTGATTTTTTTCTCATCAAATCAGCACCCCAACGAGTTCCGAGTCACCCTCGCCGGACGGTCGATCCAATATTTCGTGTTACGTTCAAAAATATGTCAGTGGGACCCTTATTGTGTCACCGCTGTCAAACATATCTCCCCTACAAATTGTTTAAACGCGGTAGCACGTGTTACTCGCACGCATTTCACTTTGTGATTTTTGTATGAATAAATATAACATTTCTGTTTCTGCATTTACATAAGGAATCTGCACTCAACTTACGATAAGTGTTCCATACACAAGACTTTATTTTACTTTATCTCTTTTGGTGATGTGTGATGTCATTGTTATCGTTGTATTTATAGATAACTAATTTAAGTGTTATGTTTCTACCGTATCGCAAAATCCAAAAACCGTGTGAAAATATATCATGCGTAGATTGCATCGATGGGACATTTTTCGTATCTTTATTTTCATTACTACACTTATTTCGAATCTGATAAAACTGTAGATATTATTGCATAATTAGGATATTAAATAAAACCTATGATTTCATGTTGTAGCCTATATCTTTGCATGTTTATCCCTCATATGAAACAAATAAAAAGAAAAAAGACAACAAAAACATGTTTACTGTTACACAAACGACACGATAAAAGCTATCATAGTCGTAAACTCAAAGGAAACTCGTAGTTTTCTCAAGTCGTAACTAAGAAGCGGAATACTTAGTCAGCACATTCTTGCTCTCGGGCGTATTCAGCTAAACGGGCGTACGAGACTATGATAAAGTGGAACTATATAACTTGGGAAAATCTGCATGCTAAACTAAGTACAGCTTGGTACAGCTTTCCACATACTAACAATGTGACTTTCAGTTCCGCATTGAACACAAACGAGCTCCCTAACTTGTTACGTTATTACAGTTATTGGATTAAGTTATTAGGAAGCACGCGTTAATATTTATGTTATAACCAGTAACTTACTTGTAAACTCATCATGTTTTAACAAGATTTGTACAAGAATTAAATTGTTTTCATTGTTTACAGGCTGCTGTAAAATGCGCTTCCTCTCCTCGCACAAATGCCCTGTCGACCAAGCCTCGTCTGCCTTTGGCGGCGCTGGCGGCCGATTCAGGGCGAAATCATCCGCCCAACAACGTCAACTCTCATGTAAGTAATACCCATTATCTTGTCTTAAGCCTGATGTGTATGTCAAACAAATATGGTAGATTGCCGTCATCCTACTACCGAATTAATGGTGGCTAACGTGATTTAGAACTCGTAGAACTATTTATGCATGTTATGTTCGTGTTTGTTTTCATTAGTATCGTAGACATAACACAGTACACTCTATTTATGCAAAACTAGTATATCACTTAGAATTTTAACGTGATTCGTGTCGAAAGCGGAAAGTTGTTTCTTTGCTATGAATTTACTTACAAAGCTCTTGTTTAGACGAGTTTTTGTAGCAGTGGTCGTCCATTTTCTTACATCCGATCCTAAGTTAAATGTGTCGGGTGATCTCACACGTCTAAATGCAGCGAATCTAAATCTGTAAGCCATCGAGCGTGCCTCTTCCGGGATCCGCTTTCTCGCCAAACTCATAAAACGTATGCAAACTGCCAATCGACTTGTCAACGCTCCTCGACTAGTCTTCAAGATGGCTTTTAAACCAACATCTGCGAAATGCATACTTTGTTTACTTGTTTTAATTAGTTTGCCAAACCATTAAGCATTGAATTACCAGAAGAGTAAACTTCGTTCATTATGTAGTGATTGGACGGAACCTAATTTCCAAGTTGCACCTGCTACTTATTTACCTTTTCGAATATCAATGAAACCGGAGCGCGGTTTGATGTGAAACAGTAGCGCGGTTTGATATTTTTTAGAAATTGATCAAACAGAAATTAATTTTTATTGTTCGCTCCCTAAATAAACTTTTGAACAATGTATCATATCAATAATAAAACTTACTATTTAAAAATAAAAATTTCAAATATCAGTAAAATCCATGTCGAATGCAACATTATTTATTCACCGGCCCAGTCGGAAACGGCAGGCGTTGTCCAGTGACGGCACTAGCTCTCGACTATTTAATTGGCTCTTGTGAAATCTTTATTAGATCCACTACCATTGCACTTTCTAGGAGTTAACTCCTGATAGCTATTTCTGACTCGTAACGCGTTATACATTACTTTTATATTGCCAATAAAACAACAGAATATTAAACCTATTTGGTATTCCTTTCCGGTTTGCGAAAATCGAATATTTATTTCTTCACTCGACGACGCGTGTGCTTGAGTTCTAAATAGGTTCACATTTCTGATTCGAAAGGAGCACTCTGAGCGGAATGTGAGCAGTTTACCCTGTGTGCTCCCCCGTGAATTTCGACAGTTCGCCGACGCCAGCCAAGATATGTCGCAATCCCATCCAATTTGCCTCCCGCCGCTCGTGCTGTTGCTCGAATAAAGCGGAAAATCTTGCTCCGCAGCGCGCCGCCGACGGAATAAATTATGTCAGCTTCAATATGAAACTGTCGGAAGCGAAGGGCGCGTATAAAACGTTAAGCTTTAAGTTAATCGTTAATAAAACATGCTTATCTGAAATTAAATGTAGATTTATTAAAACATACAAAGATAAAAGGAACTACGTAGCAATGTTTACTAATTCATCTCTATACCGAATAGAGCAGCGAAATGCGGTTGTTTTATTGGGTATCCACTTAGTTACAGTTTACAGACTATATCATGGTTTGAACAATATCTAGAGTTGAACGGGGAATGAGCACGATCGTTTGGCACGAGCTGGGAACGCGACGCTGCGGTGTCGGCTAATAGCTCTTCGCAGATTCAATTTGCTGTCGAATAGAATATAGCCTCCCGGTGCGCACTACGCGATCATTAAGTTACGTTCTCGTCTCCGACGACGAGCCAGTAAAATTTGCTTCAAACACCTACCACTTAAGCCAACTAGCTTCTAACTTTAATTTAATTCGCTTCCTAATTAGTTGAGCAAGTAATTGACTTAATGTGACCTCACTTAGGTTAAAACTTAATTAAGTTTTAAGATTTTCATTTGGTCGTTTAAAACTTTCGAATGGATTGTTTAAAATCTAAAATATGCAGGCTTTTAACACTAACTTCAGTAAATTTCGGCTATCTATGAATAATCCGTGTGATTAATAGCGGTATTACCGTGGATTAATCCATTTTATCATCTTTCTTTAAATAAGACACAAATTCTTCACAATCGCAAAGAAGTGAAAGAAGTGTAAATGTTTGTATGTGTTAAACTTTTATCAATTCACATTACTCACATATATAATATGGTCGGTATCTACCTACCTGTGTTCGTAAGTTAACATGAAATTGCTTGCGGCGGACATGGATTGCTTTCGACAGAAGAGCGTCCTTATTGTGTTGTCTCCGGGAAAGCTGGCGTATCGCCACGGACGCGACGCGCTGCCAATGCCAAATGTTTTTTATTCCCCCTTTCTGGACGATATTGCCGTTTGCTTACGGCGCCATCACTTGCCTTATCTTAAACGACAAACGGGTCGCATCGTCCATAGTTCAATGGAGCTATTTTTTAAAAGTTTTGCATACCTCCGGGCACTAATATTCCAAGCGATATTTGTGGATTTCTTTTCTGCATTACATTGCAGGTTTCTGATAAATCAAAATCATACAAAGGTGCCGTTTCAATAGTATTTATAATTATGATGATTTACATATTTAATATGAATCAAACCTAAAATTATTACATTGATTTCAATTGAAATGAACCATACTCGCATTCATTAAAATACAACATTGGAATTGATACGTTTATTTACGGAAAGCTTTGCAAATTTAATGGATTTATTGGTAAATGATGTCTTCATTGGACTTTAATTGAAATTGCACAACAATGGTTCACAAATTAACAATTCGTAATATCCAGTGAACCGAACAGAATATAATAATAATGTCATACGAATATGATGCACGTTAATATTTATTCGTCCACTCCACTGATTGGATTAATTATAAAACACAATAGGTAAACATTTGTAATATTGATTATTGTGTTTAACATAAATTATGGATTCAAGTAGGTATAATAAAGGATATAAAACAAACTTTTATTAATAAATAATTGCATTACGTCTAGTATAAAATATGCTAAATGGTTTCAGAAAAAATATATTATATTTTTATAATATCTTCTATATAAACTACTTTTGAAGATTAGAATTTCAAACCACGAGTAGGTACTTATATTCTGGTTATACTCGCCGAGAAGTCTGTGTGATTTGTTCTGAGAACTTGAGACCCAGACGAAATAAAATGTCAAACAAGTTTATTTAATGCATAACGACACGACTACAGCTGGAAATTATGTTAGCAACCTGACATTGCATATTAATGCTACACCGCTACGGCACGGAAAATGTTTCGTAAACTAAAACTGTCTTTCGCATTTACTACACTTTATCACAATATTTACTGTCCATTCGATTTAGAACACTAAAATTCTATGTGTATTGTTTTATACTCCCCCTTACATTTAAATGTAAATATATTATAATATTCCGTTTCATTTATGCGTCGTATTAAATGTATTGTTTTTGTTTTCTACTGACCATAGAGTTGAGAGCATAGTAATAAATAACCAGTTATGAAAACTAAAATCAAACAAAAGCGAACACAGTTAAAAAGAATTGTTTGTTAATTGAACAACCAAATGCAACTATTCGGAATGCCGATATAAATTTCTGATGTAACGCCCACGGCAGCCTGGAAATATTAATTCAATCACATATCCATTCGTCCGGCTTGCCGCACTATATTAATTCTAGAACGGTCTGTCGCAAAATTCCATTTGGAAATACCACGGGCTAACACAGCTTCATGTCCGCGCGCCACTGTGATTGGATCGCAGTGGTACTATGCCTTAATCCGTCTTTCAGCGGATCACTACCACTTTTAAAATAAACCCCATAACAAACAATGACACTGATACGGATATTCCTAATACTGTTACCATGACCAAGTAAACAGCTTACTAACGTCATTTTAAATTGTGTATGTGTGAAAATCTATTCAATAATATTAGAATAGAAGTAGCATATTAGTAAGTGCCGACGAAACAAGAGGCACAACGTGCTAGCACATAAATAAATTATGCAGTACGTCACATAATGACACGGCTCCCTTGCACCTCGGTGGAGCTAGAGACACCTCATTTATTATAGTGCATCTTCAAAGTCTGGATACTCTGCTTCACTGCGTAATTTATGGAAAAGAAAATTTCTAACGCTAAAAGTTTATAAAATGCTCAAAGCAAATTAAACAAATCGCTCAACATTAATTTTGGGTAGATACCTTACCTCTAGGGACGGCGGTCTTCCAGTGCATGATTTATATTCTGATATCCAGTGTCAAGCCGAATCCGAGAGTGCATAACCATCGAAGTGTCTGTTCATGAAAAATGTAATTGAATGATTTATCTCGTTGGTCACGTTTCGCCGCCATATGGACTTCTCATGAATAAGTAATGTTCGGCTGCGGTCGTTGTTTCAATTAGCGGTTGTGTCGACGGTCGGGCACGACTGCTTCCCGCCAGCCACCCGCCACAGAATGCTTATATCCAGAAATCAAAACTATTGTTATGAAGATACGATCATTTTATCCTCTGTTCATTCACCACATCTCTTTGTATCTTCATTTTTAATCTATAAACATTAGACAAACAAATCTTTACAATTTACACTTAAACAAACTCGTTACAACAAGGACCATGAATAGAAGTGGAAGGCTCGTGTTAGTCGTATAATTGGGGCGAACGATAATGAGCGAAAGTAATTATGTGGCAACATCCCCCGTTACATCTCCGAAAGACACGACCCATTCAGGGATTAGAGGGATCTCGCTCGCCTACGACGGATTAAATTGATATGTGCGACGCTGCTTAACTCGTTTTATGTAAAGGGTCGGAAAGCAATCCCTTTTATTAGAAGTGGAGACATAATCTTGCGCGTATGTCTTTTTGTTGTCTATTATGGAAGCTGAACGTCGCAACTTTTATTGTTTCTGTCATTTTCATAACATACTTGGGACGAGTTACAACAGTGACTCTGATGTGTTTTTATCTTTATCTTCAGACGAAGACAGTACATTTAATGGTGTGCCTCCTTTATCTGACACACTAGTATCCATTTTTTCGGATGTTTCTCGGAACTTTAATGTGGTCCACATAAATGCTCAGAGTATTCCGGCTCATTTCATTGATATGCTGACAGTTTTCAACTGCAAAGATGTCCATGCTATTCTTGTTTCAGAGTCATGGTTGAAACCTTGCCTCCCCTCTTCATCCTATGCTCTTCCAGGTTTTAATCTTATCAGGAACGACCGGGCAGTGGGGGGTGGTGGCGGCGTGGCCATATACCTTCGTAATCAGATACCCTTTACTATTGTTAGTGTGTCGGCGCAGCCACCTCCTCCAAACGGTGGTGAACATCTTTTCCTGGAAGTTGAACTACATCACTCTAAGATTCTTCTTGGGGTTTTCTACTGTCCCTCTCTCCGTATAAATTTCTTTTCTTCTTTCGAGCACCTTTTGGAATCATTTGTTCCTTTGTACGACCACACCATATTAATGGGAGACTTTAACACCTGCATTTTAAAAAATGACTCCCGTTCTACCTCTCTTACTCAAGTCATTGAATCAGCTAATCTCTCTTTACTGAATCTAAATGCTACTCACCATTTCCCTAACTCTATTCCCTCTCTACTTGATTTAATTTTAGTTTCTTCTCCTAATCACATAGCTAAACATGGGCAGTGTTCAGCTGATCATTTTTCTTACCATGACTTAATTTATGCCTCTTATAAGATTCGACCCCCTAAGCATACTTCGAAAACTCTTTTTCTTCGTAATTTTGGGGTATTGAATGTAGATCGCCTGCGGCGAGGAGGCTGGTAATAGATTGGACCTTTGTTTCAATCTGTGTCGGTTGATGAACGGGTTGAGATTTTGCCACCAACATTATCCAACTGTATGACAACACGCTCCGATCCGGGCCGTTAGAGTCAAACACCTTCCAGCACTTGGCTTAGTGATGAAATTAAAACCTTATTGCTCGGAAAGCAGCTGCGAGGTTCAAGTTCAAAGTCCGGCCCAAACGACGTTAATAAAAACAAATACTTGCGATCAGGAACCACTGCAACAAGGTGTGTAGAAATGCAAAACGCCAAACATCCATAAATCACTGAAAACAGTGATCCGGCTAAGGTCTGGAAGTTTCTTAGATCATTGGGTATAGGCAAATCTGCTCAAAATTCAATTCCAGATAATCTTAACTAACTCTCTTAACTGTCATTTCTCTTCTTCGCCTGTACTGGATAGGGCAACCAAAGCTTCTACTTTAAATTCTCTTTCTCTCCTGCCGTTACCTGTTATATCTCTCTTTGACTTCAGTCGGTTTGCCGGGGGGGATGTTAGAAGGAGCATCTTGTCGTCTACTTCCAATGCCGTTGGTAGTGACTGCGTTAGCGTTAAAATGCTTATCCCTATCCTTGATGAAATTATTCCTATAATTCTTTTCGTCTTAACTCTTCAATCACCGACAGAACTTTCCCCCAAAGTTGGAAGAAGCTCACATAATCCCGCTACCCAAAAATCCAATCCCACTTCCTTTGCCGATTTTCGTCCCATATCCATCCTCCCATTTTTATCCAAAATCCTAGAGAAGCTGGTCCACCAACAAATCAGCAGGTTCCTATCCCAACATAGCCTCCTAAGTCCCTTCCAATCTGGTTTCGGCCAGGGCACAGTACTACAAACGGCTCTTGTAAATATCACAGACGATATCCGATCAGGCATGGAGTCAGGAAAGTTAACGGTCCTTGTACTCCTAGATTTTCAGTAACGCGTTTAACACCGTTGACTTTGACTTACTGCTTGGCGTGCTCAGTCCTTTGGCATGTCCCCGTCGGTAATTGACTGGTTTCATAGTTACCTGTTCGGCCGCCGTCAGCGTATTTACCTTGAGGATTCTAGGTCTTCATGGTGTTCCACTGCTGCCGGCGTACCTCAGGGTGGAGTTTTATCTCCTCTTCTCTTCACATTATTCATTAATTCTATTTTCAAGGTTCTTCTTCTACCACCTTTTACGCAGATGATCTTCAGATCTACACCCAGGCCTCTCTGAAGATTTACCAGGCGCCATTACATTAATTAACAACGATATGGCACGAATAGGTGATTGGAGTTCCAAATTTGGTTTGCTGGTAAATCCATCAAAAACGCAGGTGACTATCATCGGTGTGTGCGCGTATCGTCTCCAAAATGAATTGGACAAGTCTTCCCCCAAGTTTCTTTTCTAAATACGAAAATTCCTTTCTCCGCGATGAAGAACCTGGGGATTTACATCGACAGTAACCTCTCCTGGAATAACTTGCAGGTGGTCAGTCGAAGTTGTTTGCTTCAGCGGGCTCCTTAAGGCGTCTTCGTATTTCTTACCACTAAAACCAAAATTGCACTTGCACAGTCTCTTCTTCTACCAATACTCGACTATGCTGATGTCAGCTATCTAGATATCACCCAAGAACAATTGGACAAGCTTGAGCGCCTTCAAAACCTTTCTATCAGATTTATATTTGGTTTGCGCAAGTATGATCATGTTTCTGAATTTCGTAGCAAGCTCAAATGGCTGCCTATCCGCCTTCGCCGGAACGCTCATATCCTTTCGTTACTATTTAATGTACTTTTTAATCCTGCTGCCCCTTTCTATTTAAAGGAACGTTTTCAGTTCCTGGGTGTCACACATTCGAAGTTCCTGAGATCATCGGAAAATCTTAAGCTCAGCATTTGTAAGCACTCCACTTGCTTTTATGACAAGTCCTTTTCAATTCAAGCGGCTCGGTTATGGAATGCGCTGCCGGTGGAAGTGCGACGTGCTCAAACTCTGGGTCAGTTTAAAGGACGTGTGAAGGAACACTACCTGTCACTGTAGTTATGCTTTTGTCCTTTCATTATGGATAAACACATCACATATACACACACACACACACACACACACACACCCACACACACACACCCACCACACACACACACACACATACACGCAACTATATATAGTTATCATTTTACATTTAAGTATATATTTATTACATAGTATTGCCATTTTTATCTTTTATGTATTATATGTAGTCTGTAAGTTTCATTGATTGTTTAATTTGTTTTTTATTTTTATTGTGCAACTACCACCCATTCCCAGATTCTTTTCAAAAATTCCATCCAAAGGTTGTCTGGAAGAAATCGCCGCGTGTGATAAGACCGCCCATTGTACTTTAATTACTGTTGAAATGTTTACATTTTTTTTTTCTGTGTGTGCAATAAAGTATATATATATACTTGGGACCCTGTTTAGGAAGGGTTGTTTATATTATCTGTTTAGTGCTATAACAGTGATGATTCTGTAACCAGTGAAGCCAGTTGCCGACGGGCAATAAGTTTGCTTTTATGAAAATCTACGTAGTAAACATTGTTTAGAAAGTGTCAGCAATTCATTAGCTAACCATATTTAAACCAAGTGTCTACTAACGACGGGAAAAATGGGCGCAGGTTTATTAATTAATATGTTTACTAAATTCATAATTATAGGTGCTTACTGTATGTATTTTAATTTTGTGGCCTTATAATGTACAAAACTATTGCTTGAATATCCTAAATGTATTTATACTTATAGAAAGCTGAGTAAGCGAATTCCGCCAGTATAAGATTTTCTTCCGGTCGACGACCGTTCCCGGAAATGGTGTCGTTTACATAAACCTAAACCGGCCGCGAGTAATGGCCTCTACACTTGTACGGTTCAGAGATACGACTTGAATTGCAATGCACTATGTAATTCGTTCCTTTTTTATATCGACATGTTTGTGTTACCTTCTATTACACTGCACTGATTTCAAAATAAGTACCTGGCATTAATAAATAGACTATTAAAATATTTTATTCTTCCTTTATTCAAACTTTTGCAACCTCACTATTGTAATGAATTTATCGTTAAAAAGTACTCACCATTTTCCGATTCACAAACAAATATTATGGATACCCATTACCCACAGTTTGAAGCGAAAATAGCACTTAACACGAAGCAAACTTTATGTATTTCATGAATAAGAAATCAAATTGAAAGTTAACAATCCGTTAAGTTATATAATGATTTTGAAGTTCATTGCGAAAGGGTCGTCGGAGTTATCCATTCACGGAGAGTTATACTCATTTTATTTTCTTTTAGCAGTCCTGTACAGCGTTCGTCGCTAAGCATCACAGTCGCTTCCCCCGCCTGAACGAGCGCCTTTCGAACCCTACCGTAAAATAGACGCGAAATGTGATAAATGGAAAACTCTTTTTATTGTCGGAGCCCGGGGCACGTTACGTTATGGGTCGGCTCCACTCATCCCGCCCGCACCCTCGCTTTCCCGGCCCGTCTTATCAAGTTTTCTTATATCCTAGTTACCGCTCAATTTTGTGAGCCTTATATAAAAAGCTTTTCCTCTGCTCCCCTCTTTGCAAAAGAATTGCTCTTAAGGTATCTGTCTGTACACGAGTCTCTATCACTTTAAGCGTGTAAGAAAGCTTATGATTTTCTTGCCCTGTTGAGTGCGGGCGTAGTATTTGAATTGACCCTGCGTTTCTTTTATCCAGGGTATTACGCTGCTTCAAGACGCTGGTACGTCGGATGACAGTGGACGGGCATCAGAAAGACTCACTGGTAGTTCGGTGGCGCCTCGCGATCCCGATTCTTCCCGTGATCGTCTTAGTGACGTGAGTATTTTAATCTTACATCACTCTACGTCCTAGTGCCCATTACCAAAAGCAAGTCGTGTCTTAGTGCATAGAACCTTCGGCAATGAACTCTGAGCAAAACCTTTCCATATTATTTAATCTAAGGAAATCGCAAAAGAGAATAATTTCAAAATTTCAAATTCATGACCTTCTTGTGCGTTCTTTACTCTATGGTCAAATTGTGCCGTGCTTTGTTATAAACTCCGATATTTTAACTTTCAATGAAATGCATGTACGAATTCACTTAGTGTTGTGATTGTAATGCGTGTTAGATCGTGAAAACAATTATACGTTATTGTCTTACGTTTTTTTGCATATTTTCTCGTCTCTCCTATTACAATTGGCGATATTAAGAACACAAATCTATGTTCAGATGAACGCTTTTTTCTGTATGCTATGTTATTTTGGAAGCATTGTGAGTCGAGTGTTAGGAGAGACGGGACCAAGTTCACCACCCCTAGTCACTCCAATCCACTCATATGTTCGCTTTCTCTCTCCTGCCTACAGGCCAGTAGCCGCTGTAGTTCCGGAAAAGGCTATATCGTGAGTATTATCAATGTTGTCTGTTTGCTCTGTTAAACTTTTTACTGTTCTCTTCTATTTCACCACGCACGGCTCTGTAGTTGCATGCATGATTAATTGTCATAGAACTTAGTACATAAATATTGTCATTACAATAAATACAATTTTACCGTCTATATTAAACAGATATCATAACAAGTCATTATAAATGAATACTATACTAACAATACAATCATGAATCAATACGGTCTATGAATAAAATTGAATGATTAATTCATTCGAAATAACCCTTGTCTGTTGTAAAAGACATGTAATAGCTGTAATTCTCTATTACTGTGTGCAAATTTACCCAGATCACGCAACACACATAGACCCTGTTCGATATTCGGCGCGTATCGCAGCTAAATCACGAGATTTGTCGAGGCGGTGCCGTTCCGTACTACATAACATTACCTGCGCCCGTCCTGAATACTTCATGTTCTGTATTTATTTGAAATTGTAATATCTCAGCCTGATCCCTTGTTGTTTCCCCTAGCCTGAACTTACCTCATAAATAACGTGTAACGTATTCGTCGATTTATGTTACGATAATAGTTTTCTTCTCCCATGTGATTTCAACCGAGATTGTTCGATAGTGTAAAAAAGTTCATCTTCTGGAAAACATCACAGTTATGTGTTTTGTAACTTCCAACGTAATTGTATCATCTCATTATTCAAGTAATTTGTTTGACGTTCTTAAAATTCTAAGCAATTTGTTTTAACATACTGTTTAGAATAAATTGCACGCTTGGTTTTGGTACAAATATTTCATTACTAAATAGGAAACTTATTTGACTATACTGGCAGCTTTCAGCAAATTGCTGCTTTACAACTGCGGATCGTAGTTACTAAAATATTCGTAATAACATAAACATGCATGAATTGAGGTAGTCAGTCTGCTTTACGTAAATACCACATCCTATATTAAAATTGGTTTTTCTCTTTTTACAGTGTGATAGCGAAGGCGACGATGATAAGGCAAGTACTTTGATATTAATATTCCTTCTCCAAACTTTACAGTTAATTGTTCCAAACGATATTTACGAATCGCGTAAATTAATTAAACCAGTCTTCAACTCCTCGACTCTTTGTGAGTTGGAAAAGTTGAAACAGAGCGTTGGAAATAAATGTCCGTGTAATGTAAGTGGCGAAGTTGCTCGTTCCCGGTTTATTACCCGGTCCGACTTGCCAGTACACAGTGATTAATCTCGCGGGGCGGAACGCCACGTTCTAAGCACCTGTTTACTAAATTGTTTAGTTGCTTTGTGGTTAATGAATTGTACCTGATTGCTTAATGTTTTATGCACTTAGAACTAACTTTAAACACAGTCACGGAATCACCGAGTGCCTAAATTACGGAATAGGCTTATCGAATGTAGGTGCAGCAAGAAGTCTTTGTAGTTTGACTCTACTGTAGCACAAGTGTACATGCTCTGGGGGCTTAACTAACTCGTCAACAGGTTGTGAAATGCGACTCAAAAGCTGCCAGAGTTTGAGCGTTGAGCGCTCTCCGACGCGTGTCGACGTGGCAAAGGGCGCTGATTACGCGCCGTCGCTCTGTTCAGTAATTACTAGATTGGCGCAGTCTGGAAGTGCCCGTAATTAAATACATTACACCGCCTTTAACGCTACTAACTACTGTCGGTTGAGCTTTAATATCTCATGTTATATTTAAACTAAGCCTGTTGACAAACCATTAGCGATATTTTAAACGATTACAAACTATTTGACAAATTGATGTAGACTTACAATTCGTTATAATGTTGCTAATTATAGAATCTATCAATGATATACTTAATTTCTGTTAATCACTAATCGTTCCAACTACAAATTGTAATCTAACTTTTTAATCAGGTTGTTCGTTAAATACACAAAATCGTAGAAGAATCTGTGACAGAAATCGTGTAAATCCGAAAGCTTTAAAAGACTGATACCATTGTTCGCGTGGCCGCAACCCCGACTCGTCTGTTCCCCTTAATCTAATTATCTGGCCGCTTCACTGCCTGCTCCGGACGAAACACTCCTCCCTCAATTTCTCTCAATTTTCTCAGGAGATCTAAGTATAAGTGTTTTATTAGGCAATCCATTCTGTGATGTAATGATCCCGGATTTCACTAAAACTCGTGTCTGGTTTTGATAAATTCACATGTTAATGGTAAATGTATTGCTAATATGTTGTCATTAAAACTGCACTGATAGATGTGTCATGAGTCTCAATTAGTCATTTAGAAAGAGTTTTTAATCAGGTTTATAACCTAGTAACACCGTATTACACTATTATTTGCTCACTTATCTCTTTCATAAATCGCTTTTAATTATAACTAAACATAGTAAAACTGTGATAGCAATCTTAATTAAACACGTTCATAAATAGTAGGCTTCAAACATCCAAACAAATAATAACGAACTCTTTGTGACATAACTATGTTATTCAGGGATCTTTAATGAAACATCATCTCCCCTAGTTGTCAAAACATAATCGAATATGAAGATGAAGCATGATAAGATAATGGCAGTAAATGGATATCTGAGAAGGAAATCAGTCTCGAGTCTGTGTTGCGCCGTAGTCGATTAATTAAATTATCCCGTGAAGTTGACAGCGCTGAGCACATTGCTCGGAGCATCGCAAGCTGGGAGCGATGTGTAGGTGAGAGCGCGTTTCGTGGTAGCGCGCGGCTGCCATTGCTCGCTACACTTAGCTAGAGAGCGCCACTAACTCGATCCGATTCCACTTGGGCTATTTGCACTCCGAGTTCAATTATGCTTCCACTTTGATATGCAAATCCGGTCGCGTTTGGCTAATTACGTAGACGCTTCCGTAACATCATTTCAAACGTCAACTTACTGTACTTACGTCATGTACCCGCGTGCGTGCTGCCAAATATTCATTATGTTATACATTTGAACAAGCAAACTTTTATTGATGTTCTATAAAACAACAGTATTGAGTTTACCCGTGTGTTGAAGCAACCGACCGTTGTATGAGTTACTAACTTTAATGTTACTTACCTAATGTCTAGTGCAGCCAAGCTAAGTTACGCGTATTGAACTTCCTTCTTCGAGTTTGCTGAAAACAATGGAGAGGTTATGAATATAGCTTTAGCTTGAGCAGGAATCTGGGCAAACTCTCTGAGCTTTGTAAACTCAGTTATTAGCTTAGTAACAGAAGTCGGCAACTGATGCCGGTGGTGAACCGGCCCGCCCCTGCATAACCACAATCCGTCGGCTTGCACACTCGTAACTTGTCGTTTACAGCTAATGCAACTAACATACCTTTAGCTGCTACCGATAAATTATACTGTGTTAATTACAATGACTGTTTGAATTGCGAGTAATTGCCTAGGTGTAGCAACAAACAATTCATCAATTCAAGTACTTAAAATATAATATTATTAGTTCCCAAATTGTAACTACTTTGTAGAAAAATAAATTTATTTAGTCTAAATGAAAGCTCATTATCATTTATCAGGTTAGCATATCATTTCTAGTCGATTTAAGCGGGTGATGGCCTTAGTATGGTGGGTAATCTGCCCGTACAGATACAAGAGGGGAGGCTGTCTAGTCCAACACATTAATAAACTCATGAATACTGATCGAGTGCTACCCAGACCCAGCCCAGTCCTATTAAATTTAATAGTGTTTTTATCTATGCATTTTAATAAGAGTTATACAAATCAAAACAAAATAGCAAAATCCATCCATCCAATCCCTAATCATTTGTAAGAGCATTCATTTCTTTATCGTGCATTGGATGCCACTTGGCAAAATTTACCTTACGCAAAGCTGCCTCGGTTAATTGAAAGAGCTTCTTTCATTTGGTGTAATATTTTACTGCACAGTCTGTGCCTCGTTGCGGTAACAGCAAAACGGTCTCGCTCCGACACACCAGTTTTCTTTAGTGCTCTCTCCTTGGGCGGCCGCTTACGACTCCTTTTAGAACTCGTTTTAGAAGCAACAAGAAAATAATTTAATCTACTCCACGGAATCGAAACATAAATTTGTTTTCAACATTATCTTAATCGCTACTTCTCTTTTATCATCTTTCAGCGTTGGCTTATTTCTTAAAATTCTTTTTACTTTCATTTCCTTTGCGTAGAATGGCCCTTAGAGTTTTCAAATCAGCAATTACGGTGAAAATTTTATTTGAATTGCGGCGAAATTATGCTGGCTTCTCTAGACTAGGATTTCTTTCGGGGAATATTTCCTTTGTGAATTTATAATTTTTAGTTTAGCTGACATACTGGTGGAACAAGTGTGGTATACTTACAATACCCACATGTACCGCAATAAATCGGCCGCACCCACGACGACGCTGTGGCACGCGAGATAAGGGTCACCGCAGCACCATTAAGTACTACAATGTCACTGTTCCGCCGATCAAGAACATAAACACGTAACCACCACCCACAACACGCTTCGAAATTACACCTACTAACATTTCATCCATCAACAAGCTACAATTCGTAGTTTCGCACATAACGGTGTTATTAATGTAATACATACAGCATAATTATAACAAACTACATAACTGCGTGATTAACATAATGTTTCTAGAATGTTCTACTTTTGTCTTGTAAACGAGCATAAAGTGAAAGAACAAATTGCGAGTTTCCCCAGTATTTTCCTCGCTCGGAAAAATATATGTTTTATTAAAGCTCGGCATTTCCGAGAGCGCGGCAACCCTCGGGGCGAGGGTGGTTGGCTCGGGGGGATGAGTTCGGCGGCGCGCCAGTGTATAACAGACAGTAGAGGGATATAAAACATATTTACGCGCCTATAAAGTACTCTCGTACGCTCGCTCTCCACCATTTTCTTTTGTTCCTCGCTCGCAGCCAATGATAATGCTTTCTCCCGTTCGGTTAAACTTATTTCTCTGCCGTCTTATCTGGCTTTTCTTCGGCACTTTTATTTATAACCGAAGTGGTGAAATGTAACAACGTGAAGTAAACGATTTTGGTTTCAGTTTGCTTTTTGACATGTTGTCTCTTTTGTTAAAGTTTTATTTATACATTTTTGGGGTGCTCCGTCATGTTTGTATTCTATGAATTACGATGTATTGATCCTTATGTTTTGCTTTGGTATTGGTTAAATAACGTTCTTAAAAGGCTATGGTTCTTAATCTTTTCTTGTAAACGAATCCTCTTCATTTTACGAATATTTACTAAGTACCTATTATAGCAGTTCAATAACATATTCATTCATTCACGTGTGGTGTGATGAATTATACCTATGTGGAGATGTGTTAAAGAAGGTGTAAGGACCCACTTAAAGCTATTCAAAACGAGCAGAACGGAAGCCAGAGTGTTAACAGCAAAGCGAGGAGCGTCTTAATCTTGCGCTACACTACGGCTCAGAACTGAAACCCCTTGCGTAGGTGAGAGGGTGTAATAACAAGAGTCGCCCGTTCCTTGCTATGCCACCCTTCAGTCGCCCGCAGGCTCACCCGCTTGCAAAGTTCTACGGAGATTCCTATTACTCCGTCGTGCTCCAGTCTAACCGGCTTGACTTAGATAAGTCTTAACTTGCTACGATGTAAACTAAACCTTAAACGCTTCTACGAAAATCTTTCAATGTAAGTCTTTGTCATTTATCCACATTTTATATTGCTTGTTCGTGGCCATGTTAACGACTTATTTATAAAGTAATACACTCATACCAATTATGGTTATTGATACTGCAGTATCATAATCGATTAATCAATAAAATCTACATTAGTATGCATTTAAAAATATTTTTATGTCAAATTATAATTATGTTGCTACTTTCGAAACGTGTAGGACAAAGACACGTTGTCAAAGGGCCGTAATCATCCGTAGGCAGGCGAGTGTTAGCACTCGACGCCGAGGTTGAGATATCTCTCGACGGATCAGCAGCTCACTCGGGATGCACTCTGCGATTCCGTTTGTCACTGCACCCGACTGCGGTCTGAGCTCTCGCTCTGATAAACGCATGTCAACGTGCTTTGAATGCGAAGCGCATTTAACCACTGAATCCGCATAGAAGCTTACCGCGTATGGTTTAATTTAGCTATAGACACCTATTATACCATCTATGTTATTAGCGGCTTAGATAATAGTAATTAATTTAATGTTATAATTACCATGGTGTAGAAATTTCTCAACACTGAAATAATTTTAGGA